ATTATTATTATTATTATTATTATTGTTAAATGAACATGTAAATGTAATATTTCAGGAAAATAAAAAAACAAACATATTTTGTGATACGAAAAGTTGTTTCGTGTTTTTTTGTTGTTGTTGTTTTACTTTTGCCAATAAGGAGATAAGGACATTGGAAACCTTTAGAATACTTGAAATCTCTTTAATGCAGCTGTCCACGCGACGTAACAAACAAAGCGAACGGGTGAAAAACGTACTCTTTCATCATAGTCGTGGCCTTGAGAAAGACTTAGGTTGTAAGTCGAAATATTAAGACAGCTAAAGCAAACCGCAACGGCAACAATAGCCATGCACGTGCGTTATAAATCTTTGTACATTTCTTTGCCGTCCTCTGCAAAACAAGAACTTGAAATGACTTAGTTCTGCCTAATTTGGAGAACGTGCACGACGACGGCCTATTTTTTGGTATTTTCATTTGGAATTTAATAGGCGTACTGAACAGATCTAGACAATAGCCTTTTTCACGGTTAACTTTTCTCATTTGTATTACAATAAAATTTAGCTTGTATATGAGACAATTTCGGGCTATTTTGTAGTTTTAGCCCGAAATTGCCTCGCACACACGGTGGATCACATTGTTATGGGAATGAGAGAAACAGACCGTGAAAATATAACTTCATTTGATGTTACAACTACAATTATCTATCAAAAGAATACCCTTCAAAGAGTACTTTTTCATCATGTAGTACACTGTGATATGCATTTCCAGTCTTTTAAATTAAATCGCCCCGTTGTTGTGTCCTGAATATGATTATCGATTAACCATTTCAGATAAATGAACAACGGCTTCGTGTCATTTGTATTAAAAAAAAATTATATTCCCTACAATAGCCCCCGTCCACACTACTCCGGGGGAATTTGACAACGGAGCTTCATTTTCCGTCCACAATAATCCGTCACGAAAACGGAGCCGGAGGAATTTGAAAACGCCGGCTTTGCGTTTTAGCGTGGACAGAAAACATTTTGGAAACGAAGCTTTTCGAAAACGATAAGGTGACGATAATTACAATTCCCTGCTCGAGTTTTACTCAAACACAAATTCAAAATGACCGGTGATTGTTGCGTTTTCAAATTTTTCCGGAGTAGTGTGGACAGAAAACATTTGGTGCGTTTTCAGAGTGAACCTCCGTTTTCGAATTCCTTCGGCGTAGTGTGGACGCGGCCTTGGTCTCCATTGTAGGCTCATAAGGTAAAGGTAAAGTCTGCATAC